CCTGCCACCGTCACGGTGCTCAGGGTGTTCAGAAAGGCTTTGCAAGCAGGAAAAGGACCCGCGTTCAGCAGCTCGGGCCTAGGGGTGCACGGGCCAGACACGGGCTGTACTCCTGGCTTGCCCATGTCCAAGTGAGTTCACTTTACTGTTGTTTAATAAATGGTTTGGACTGGGCAGCTAACAACAAGGCCAGCTCTATCTGCGATGCGTTATAAAGGCCTGTGCAATAGGATAAATATACATCAAATAGGCGATAAAGGATTGTTGGACTAGATGATTCATCTCCCAAGGTCCCTGCCAGCCTCAGCCACTCCGTGCAGGAGGCCACGTCCCCACATCAGCCCCGTCTCCTTCCTCCCCTACCCTGCTTTAAAGGCTCCCGGAGCTTCGCTGTGCGGCACGGCCGGGTTAAGAGCACAGGTACTTTCCTCAGGACCCAGTGGACACTGGGCAGCAAGATCCACGCTGAATGTCCGCCCGGAAAACAGCCGGAAAAGCCTGGGAATCCTGGGACTTTGCACACAAATGCAACTAAATGCCCTTAAAGTGCTATTATATTTAAAGACAGGTGCAGTTAATACAGAAAGCTCAGTGGGAAGCTTCAGGCAGCAGACATCAACTAAACCATGGAAAAGTAAACATAGCTCTGATATCTGGATATCTTTCAAATGTGGTTGATATTTCCCATAGATATATATTGGTGTATGAGAGCCCCAGAACTGTCTTGTTAGCCTTAAAAGACCAAAAAGAAAAAAATCTGCCCATAATTTTCACCTGACCAAGGAGCAGGCTGCAGTGGGCAGGGATCCTGTGGCCGGAGCGCTGCTCCTCAGCCGAGTTGCCCCATGGCAGGTTCTTGGTAGCAAATCAGCCGAGCCCTTGGCAGTGTCCTGCTTTCCTAGGCTGTGACATGAGAATAAAAGTGTCCCAATTACGTGAAGCTCTATATTGATACTTGTAAAGCAAGTTTATATCTTAAGTTAGAAAGTGCAGTATGAAGTACTGTTATTTTAGTATCTTTTTAGTGCAGTTTTCAGTTGACAAGTCCTTTAAGTATTGCAAGCTTTGGAGCAGTTCATAAGAAAATATAGACCCTCTCTGTTGCCTTCCCCTCTTTGCAAAGCACACCAACAGCACAAATATTCTCCTACATCTTGATGACCTTTTCAAAGGGAAAAATAAAATCACTGACATCTCGGTCTGCTGGTGCTGGAATAGAGTGGGTGTGCTTTGAAATGCAAGTGATAAAATTATCTTAGATTTGGGAGCAAAAGTATTACTCAATGCTGCCTGTTCTTTTGGTATTTCTGAATAAATTGCCAGCTTGGATGTTCTGGGAAACTAGCTCCTAAATATGTGACTGTAGTCACAGAGGGAGCTGAACTGAGGGGGAAAAAGAGGAAGAAAAGTTAATGAAGAAAAATTCTAGCTTTTAAAAATAAAGAAGATATTTTTATATTTGTTTTTTTTTCTGACATTTACTGTTCACAACGTAACTTTGAAAGCTCTACTAATTACGAGTTATCCAGCTGTTCATTACAATGTTGATAATATGATAATGGTAAAAATGAGTACCTTTAAGTCAGTTGTACAAGGTCAGTAATTTCCCCTTCCAGCAAGTCCATCCGGAGTCCCTGGGATTTAGCACACAGTTTTGTGCTGTCTCAGTCAGGAAGCAGCACGCTCTTTCTAGCTGAGATCCATAAGTCAGTCTGACTGTCAGTCTCATTCAACACAGAGCCAGAGCTGCTCTCTCAATCACAGTTATTGTGCTCTTTACTACCTGCTGTGGTAGTGCTTTGACTCGGATGAGAGAGAAAAACTGCAACAACGGAGTTTTTTGGGATATTTGCATAAAGCAATGTAGATATGGTCTGTTAAAAGGTATCGTTTTTCCTCCTAACTTCCACAGATAACCATGTTGAAAATGATCTTCAGCCACACGTCTTTTGAGCACTGCAACGGGTTCGGCAGCGCCGCGCAGGGCTCAGGCCTGCACAAGGAGTGCAATTTCTTCCTGACAGCGGTGCGCTTGGCCTCGCTCAATCAGATACTGGATCCGTGGGTTTACCTGCTGCTGCGGAAGATTCTGCTCCAGAAGTTCTGCCAAGCAGCCAGCGCCGTCTCCAAGTGCTCCAACAACGAATGGAAAGAGCGGTCGATAACGTTATCAGAGGAAATCAGACGGACAACGGCGTGAAGGAATATTGATCAGTTTGCAGGAGAACTACTTTCGTCAGCAAGTCTTAACTCTTACTGTGAGCCGGGGTAGCTGTAGCATGTTAGTGCCTACGCAATAGCCCAAAATGGTATTACTGAATGGACTTAAAGTGCCAAATAATTATGTAACCAATGTGCCAAAAACTCACAAGTATAGACAAAGGATTTTGTTTGCTAAATTCTGTTGTTATTGTAATTCATAAAACTGAACTGCAGATCATTACTTTTGGTGTGCCTAAAATATATTTTGGAAGAGGTTTGTTTTTTTTTTTTTTGCATTATGGAAGAAAAAGTGATTTTCTTGCCAGGAGACACCTGGGACATGGATTCAACAGTTAAATTACTACAGAGACCTACCTGTGTATATAATCTTAATGCTAAGAGGTGGGGGGGTGAGAAAGGGTCAAAAATACAAGAAATAAAGGAAGACAAAAATAGCAGAGTGCCTCTGGCCTGCAGTGGCTCAAAACGGAGAGGGTCGTGTTGAAGCAGGGACGCAGCGGCCGGTCCGAAGGCGAGCGTTCCGCGAGGCTGTGACACGTGGGCATGGCCCAAGAATTACTCAAGCACCTGCGAGTAGGGTGCACCGTTACATCAACAAGTACAGTGAGGAATCTGTGGTTTTGTTTTGCTTTTTTTTGATAACAGCCCGTGAAATTCTCAGGCATAACAAGAAGAGCTTTTAGCAAAGCACTCCATAAAACCAGAGCAGATGGAGAGAGTGATAAAGAGGTTGTAAGAGACAGTAAGTGTTCTTCCTCCTGTAAATTATTGGCAAATGCTCGCAAAGCCAAGAATACTGCTTTCATATGGGTAGTTTTATTTGAAAATGCACATGTCCAGGAATAAAATGAGCAATGAATGATTCTCAAGTAATGGGGATGCCATTCAAAACAACTTCATTGCTAAAATACCCTACACAGCCAGAACACTTCTGAGAGCAAGAGCTCCCCACCGAATGATGAATCCGAGAGATATGGCAGCCTTGGGAATGTCAAAAGGAAAACAGCCTGGAAGAGCAGGGTAGCAGCTGGCCCATTAGTCAGGAGTCATTACCTTTCTCCTAGGTAACTCTCAGGTTTGGTTTAAAAAGAATTCTAACGCATGTGTATCATATCTAAAACTTGTTTTTATGTAAGGAGGACATTTTTCTTCCCATTTCCTTTACCCTTTTATAGCCTCAGCTATTTATAGCCTCGACCATTTCATGGCCTTTGGGGTAAATTTGGGCAAATACAATAAAATACAATATATTGTGTAGTTTTATAGCATATGTAATATGCCATATAATATCAAATTCAGGGCCCTTAAAAGAAAATATAATCCTGCAATTGCTAGGAATTTCTTGCATAGAACCTGTGTTTTCTATAAAAAGGAAGAAAAACTCTTTTTTTTTAATATGCAGCAGAATCCACTGTCTATATGGTCTAGTGATATCTCGGGGTTTCCTGTGACCTAAAAGAGCAGGGCTTGGACTGGATGATCCCCAGAGGTCCCTGCCAGCCCCAGCGTTCTGTGTTCTGTGATTCTGTATTGTTCAATTTATGTACAGAAGCTCTTTAACAAACAAGCAAGCTGGTCCCTTGTGCCGTGTCAGGATGACCTCAATAATTGCAGTGAATCGTTCTCTGTGAAGCAGGTTCTGAGCAGCAGCGCTCCAATGGCACTGGGAGAGGAGGGAGGAGGCGGGCAGGCGTCAAGCAGGTTTCCATTTTATCACCTCTTTAGTGAGTGCCAATAGGAAAAGTCTAGTTTTTCCTGTACACAAGCAATGAAATAAGGGGCCACGAACGCGCAGCGGATGGTGTCGTTGCCTTACGTCAGCTGCTCGGGGGCCTCGTTGTTCTGCTCCAGACCAATGGACCGTTACTGCTATATGTTGGGGATGATTTTGCTTTAGTTTGCTTACAGTAATTGTGTTCCTTTATGACCTTCCGTAGTAAAATCAGACACATTTTTAAATATGGAGAAAAAAGCAATTCTGTCTATCTTTGGGTGCAGTTATCTGAAGAAGATACTTTAAATACCAGAAGACGGGAAAGAATGCCTGCTTTTCACTTGTTTACAGAAAAGGAGCTGAAGCACTATTCGCCGGCCACAACTGACATAACAGGACATGGCTGGAAGAACGCACTTTGAAAAATGAATTTAAAGACCTTTAGCATACATGAAAGCTCTTATTTCCCATTTATTTGTTGAGTGGGAAGGTGTATTTTTGTTGCATATCTTTAAAGATATCTTCTATGTGATGTATTTAAATTTAACTACAGTAGTATTTCTAAGACTGATTTAAATATGTTGTACTTCTGTCAACTATTTGATGAAAACGGTAGTGTATTTTTTGAGATCATTGATTGCCTTAAGAGCTAGCTTGTTTGTGTAACGAGTACCTGTGTATTGCATCAGTCAGAATAAAAGCTCGTTCCGCAGAATCCCTGGTGTCCGGTCCTTGCTTGCTCCCTCCTGGGACACGGCCACCGCAATTCCGACTGGAATAGGCTCGCGAGCGCCCTGCCGGTTGTGGCCGAGCTGCGTGTTGGATCCCTTTGGAGCGCGAGCGTGGCGGCGCCGCTCCCTTCCTGAGGACACACGGGATAACGGCGCCGTTCGTGCAAGGGCCGCGTTCCCTGGGATCTGCGCTACCTTCCCAGGCAGCCGCCGGAAACAGCCAATCCCCTTCCCTCCTCCTAGGAATCCAGCCCTCCTCAGCGCCAAGGGACGTTCTCCCATGAGGCGGAAAGAGCAACGTTTTTCTTCTCAAGAGATAAAAGCAATTTGGTTTTATTGCTGAAACTAACTGATGGCAGCTTTTCCTGTATTTTAATTCCTCCTTAGTTTAACCCCATGGTTTGTTGTGGAGTGTTGCAACTGATACTTCTTGTGCCACGTCTGTATGATCTGGGATGTGAAGTAGTTTAGGGCACAGGTGCTTAGCACTGTTGGATGTGAACGCAGGGCGCAGACAGACACCCTCAATGCTCTTGTCCTGGCGCAGTGTTTGGGCACAGCTATAGAGCTCACGTGTTATTTTGCTCTACCGGCTGCTAGGCCAAGGCAGAGGGGCTGACGGAGCCGTGAGCTCAGCCCGTTCCCAGCCCTCGGCACGGAGCTGCGTGCAGGGCCAGGCCGTGCAGGGCGAGGCGGCGGCGGGGGCGCGTTGGGGACGGCCGAGACGGGCCGGGGAGCAGGGCGGCCGCTCAGCCGCGCGGGGCGCAGGGCCGAGGCCGAGGGACGCGGCCCGAGCCGGCTCCGCACCGGTGAGCACAGGGCGCAGGACACAGCGCTGCGCAGGGACCGTGCACACCGCGACGGGCACGCGCCCCTTCTGCGGCACTTAGCAGAACACGGAGACACTGAGAGGTTCTGCAACAAAATGAAAACCAGAAATGACTTTCAGATACTGAAATACTCTTATATCTGCAGGTCCAGTCTGAAATTTTCCCTTTAGTCTATTTGCTTCTTTAACATTGATATCAGCCATCATTTCATTTACCAATATCATTTCATGAGAAAGACAATTACAACATATTGGAAGAATTTTGAGGTGAGATATGAATGACTTTCTTCTGGCAAATACGTATTTTCTATGTTCGTACTACTACACTCCTAAGAGTATTATTTTGTTTTGGTTAGCATTTATGGTATTGCACTTGTAAGGATTCCATGACACGTAGAACCAGACAAATCTGCAACATCAGCGTCATTTTTTTTCTGAAAGAGAACAGATAAAGCAGCAATATGTTTAAGCTGTCACCAAGTGAGAGAGAAGGATTGAAGGAAACTCACAGCTAGATCACAAAACTTACTAAGCATTCAGGATAAGCCCTTACACCGCGGAGCTGCCACCCAGCTGCACAACACACACGTCCCACCGACACCTCCGCCTGCCCCGGCGGCGGCCCCGGCTGCGGCAGGACGGTCGGCATGCGCAAAACCGCCCAATTCCGAGCACTCCTGCATCCAAAGCCTGCCAAGCACACAGCACACTTGTCTACCTGTCTCTACTGCAGGATCCAATATGTTACGTGACCATTGATTGGAATTATTAAGCCTAGCATTATGAAGTTGGTTCTTTTATTCCACATTTTCTCATTCCTTGTGGGCTGCATTCAGTTTTTGAGGACATCAATGATTGTCAGTGTCAGTGTCAGTGAAGGAAGCGCTGTTGAACAAATTTTAAAACAAGAAGCAAAAGGCAAGTCATTCCCCAATGGCTCACTCCTTCAGGATACACAGATCCTAACACAAAAGCCAACTATCTTGCTGGAGAGCAGATGGCAGTTCTGCTCACTACCTGTTGCCCACTCTGTTCAACTCATATAAGGAATTGTTGTTGTGACAATAGGGAGGAATACCTCACAAAGTACTTGCTGAGCATTTCTAAGTACAGAGTTCACTACAAACCAAGTGGGATTCCAAAATGCTTCTTGGTCTTTTACCCACAAAGGCATTTCTCCAGAACATTAGTTAACTAACTCACTATAGTGGTGTTGGTGCCATAGGTACATCAAAAAAAAGGCAGAATTCAATCACAAAATCATCATAAACAGATGACTCTTCTTATGGACGATCAGAAGATGATAAAGTATGGATTATGGCAATTTTGTCATTTCTATATTTTCCCTTAAAATGTCATGCTATTGGAATTGTAGCATTTGCCTTAGTAAAAGAATCGGTTAGTTTGATTCTGAGTTATGAGTGAATTAGATGTTTCAACTGGATATATTCACATCTGCAGTAGTGCTACTCACAGGTGAACATAGTGGAAGCAAGAAACAGGTCCACTCTGATGTAGTTTCCTCCATTTTCAGGAATTCCTTCTGCACCTAAAATAAGAAAGGCAACGTTAGCTACCTGCTCAAATGTCTTCCCACAAATAAGCCATATTTCGTAATTTTTGCACAGATCTTTTCTAGGCTTCTAAAGTAAACTTCTACTGAAGAGCAGCAACAAAACAACTTCACTAATATACTTGAAAAG